TGTCGTGTGTTCTTTCACGTGTCTCACTCTGTTTGCGCTGTTAATGAATGAACGCGCGCAGAAAGGAAGCGTGCAGGGAGGGGGGTGGCGCAACACTGAAATTCGGCATAATTCACAATCCCTTTCCGTCTGTAATAGTGCATGTGCTAGAATTTGTTTGAAGGCTTTATACATGCCCGAAGCCGAGGAAAACCCACCATTTTGCACAAGTTGCGTGCTCAGACCGTGTGTGTGTGTGCGTACGCCTACACTTCGCGGAATGTGACAAGCTGTCGCCTATAATAGAGACTTTGGCGCTTGTCGCATTCTTTTCCACAATCGACAGAAAAACTACCCAGACCGCCCGTGGTTAGAGCCTCGCGTTACCGCATTTTGTGACGCAACCACTGTGGGCTTGGGCAATGTCTGTACGTCGGTGGATGTTTGGAACGAGGCGATGAGCTGGCACGTGTTACGTTTTCCGCTCTATAGCACCTGGTCGCTCTTTGTACACTGGTGCAGCGTGTGTTTTCCTAGCACTGCTACGGGGTTTTCGCTCCTTGCATGTTCAGTGAGCCGGTGAAGGTCACTCTGCCAATCCGACTTTTCGGCTGCTTGTGATATATCCCGTATATTAGTTCTCTTTCGCCACTCGCTCGCTCTCCCTACTCCTGATAGCGCATATAAATCGCATACACCCCTGTAGGCGACCTTCGTTTGCTTGGTTGCGTATAGGTGCTTCGAGTGACGTTCATACAGGTTCTAATACCTAATTCTGACAGTTTTGGCCCCTCTGCGTAATGCAATCTTCGATCGCCTGGTTCTTGTGTTGAGCCTGTGTACATGGTACGTGTGGTCGCGTTTCTTCGATATCGACGCGTTTATTTGTGAATCTTAGTTGCAGAGTATGTCCATCATTACGTTTGCTACGGCTGTTTTTCGGTAGCTTTCGAGTCGGTTTTTTTTTTTTTTTTGCGTGTGTCAAGACGACAGGCATTTCCCATCATTTGTTCGTGTAGCCAGCCGCCGACTGCATGATGTTTTACGCAGTCTATAGTGTCGGAAAGAGGCCGCCTAATACTGTTGGTGGTTGTCGCAGTCTTCTAGTCGCTACTGAATTAAGGCGGTACGCTTGTAACGACAAACTGATAATTTCAACACTGACTGTGTATGGTTTCAAGCGATATTGGTGGATTTCGAGAGAACTATGTAATATCGGGAGCGTAAAGTGCTTGATTAACTGCCGTACTCGAGAAATAAATGCACATTTCGGAATACATGTTCTTTATGTACGCACTGCGGTTATGAATACAGTTCCTTTCTTTTACAGTGCCTTGTTCGCAATAGCTGCTCACGACAGAGTAAATGTGGTAATCATGCAACTTTTGGTACGGCCGGGCCGCAGCGTAGCAACAGTAGAATTCCATCGTAAAGAGAATTGCTCGTTGTAAAGCCTCGAGGAACTTGGGAAGTGTGGCAGCTTGGGCTATAGTTGGTATGACATGACGATAGTCATAGCGCGAAAACAGAAGGATGACACAGACAACATGAAGGACACGAGCGCTCGTGTCCTTCCTGTTGTCTGTGTTGTCGTTCTGTTCTCGCGCTATAACTATCTCCTCGAGGAACGTTGCGATGGAGATTGACGCGGGGAACATTCTGTATGGGGCCGAGACTGAGGCGTCTGAAAAACTGCGGGTGTCAAAGGGTGTGTAGTGCTCTATTGCAAGGGGTATATGCAGTCTTGTGAACTCGTCTTTTTTTTTTTTCTTCTTTTTTTCCCTGCTTCGAGTGCCGTTCAGTGCGGAAATGAGCTCTGCGGGCACTTCCGTCGCCGAGTTCCGCCAGCGTGATCCCGGAGGAAACCGTGAGCGGCTTGCCCGCATCTCAGGCGCCGCAGGGCGTCATGCGGAATTAGTTTGGGTCGGGCAAACACGTGCACGATACTCGCCAGGAGAAACAGCGGTGGAACAGTCACGTGGGCCTATACGATGCGTGCGCGCTCGAGTAGTTCACTTACAGCAAGTTACGTCATAACGGAAATCTGTGTAATTCGTTATCCAACTGTTGTTCAAGTTGGAATTGGGTCGTTGTTGTGACCTGCGTCGCTGCCATAAACGGAGCAGACATGAGCAGACGGCGTCAAGCGTTCAGATGGCCCGAGGCCGCTCGGGACTTTTGGATCACGTGCACGTGACGTATAAACCGTGGCGTCCGCGGGGCGAGTGGTCCGGGACTAGGTGAATCGACGGAGCCCGAGACTATAAGGCGCCTGTAAAACTCGAGGGTGTCAAGGGGTGTATATGCTGTCTTGTGAACTCGGCTCTTTCCTTCTCCTTTTGTCCCTGCTTCGCGACAAGTGCCGTTCAGTGCGGAAATAAAAGCTCCGCGGGCCCTTTCACTTCCGTCGTCGAGTTCCGCCAGTGTGGAGCCCGCGCAGTAAAGCGGCTTTCCCGCATCTGGCGCCGCGGCGCGTCATGCGGAATTAATCTCTCTCGGGAGCAGTTTCTCAAGGTCACTGCGTGCTGCCATGGCAACGTGTTCCTGCCTCCGCCGAAGAGTATCGACCGCCACCGGCGTTCATTGATCGGCCTGGTGACTGCTGCCGCTGTTGCAGCCACACTTCTAGGGACGGGCTCGCATTCTAATAAATACGCCGCTAGAACAGGACCGAGGCACGTGTCTCAACCTTCGGGCGCCTCCGCCTTTCTCTGCCCATTTTTTTTTTCCCGTCCCCTGCACTCTGACGTAAAATTCAGAAAGCGCTTGCACGTTGATGCACGCCGGGCAAATTTTTTTCCCTCAATCACCGACCTATTGCGACTTGTAATACGACACTTATGCTGCGTATACGAATATATATTTTGGCCAAAAGTTAAAAGCAAGACGCCGACCAAACGTTTCGGACAACATCGAAGATATACTTTGTTGTGTACTTACCATGAGGCGCTGGCGACTCCACCACGGGTTTATTGGCGCGAGTTACTTGCGCGAGTTCTTCAAGCTCCCTTGTAGACGTTTCTCTGTGGCCTGAACGGTACACCATCGAACCATTTGCCCGCAAATCGCGGCAAACGAGAGTCGTGACGTTATAGCACAAAAGTGTGGCAGCTTGGGCTAGTTGGTATGGCATGACGATAGTTATAGCGCGAGAACAAAACGACGACACAGTGTCCTTGTTGTCTCTGTGTCGTCGTTTTGTTCTCGCGCTATAACTATCGTCATGTTATAGCACAGCTTGATGCTGGCCTCCTGTTCGGACCGATTAAGGTGGTCATTTGCAGTATAGGCAATGTTAGGTTAAATGCGAAGCATTTCTTCGCGCATTGTAAGCGCTTTTGGCTGCTATGTGCTACGTTTGGGGGCTGTCATGATCGCCTCCTTAACTTAGGGTACACCAAAATTAGTACGGGAGGGTAACATAGTCTGACGAATGCAACGTGCTGGTCATGACATGAATATAATGTCTCAATCTCATCGCGTACGTCGTTAAACACTTTCCAAAAAACAGTGGCACCGGGGCCGGGTATGTGGGTATGTGCCTCAGGTGATAGAATTCAATCCCAGGAACGGCGAGAACACACATGGGTAACATAAACGATTGAGAGTTAAGAAAAAAGCTGCCATAGGCAGCGTTGACCGGACGAATGCAAATAATAAATGTCAGTGACCCAGCACGAATTGAACCCTATAGCATCCTGGGCGGCAATCAAGTATTTTATAACCACATAGCCACGCCAGGTCTCGGAAGTACTTTGCAAATATATGCTCGTGAAACGTCAATTCTGGTTGCACTACTGGCTATCAAATTTTATAAACATTACATATGAACTCCTGTGATACAGCCGTCAGGCCGGCTTAACGTCCATTGTAGTTAGGCGTCATCCGCCGAGGTTGATTTGTGTAGTATAGTGTTGAGAGCTATCAGTCTCCTGAGCTCCTATACAGTGCTTCATATCTGCAGCTTACTGTTTCTGGTGTTGCTAATATCCGTGTTGCTGCCGGCATCGTTACACAACTGCAAACATATAAAAAAAACATACGCGGCTGTTTAACGTATGTCTGCGCGTGGATTAGAACTGTCGGCGTCAAATGAAATTCGAACAGCGGCAAGACTTGGCGATGGTCTATATAGAGCGCGCCGCCGTCCAGTTGATCTCTGTTCACAGGTGCGCGCATCCTGGTCGGCGCAGAGCGTGCCTGTCCGTGGTGATAAGTGGACTGGTGCGCAATATACCATCACGAAGGCTTGCCGCTGTTTCCCTCGACGCTTCGTAACGTCTCGCACGATAAAAAAAAAATTAAAAACACATTCTCCTTGCATCCGCATGCTTCCCGTATAACATCTATTTCCAAGGTATACGTGGGATCTGCAGATTTTTTTTTTCTCTCGCTGAAACCGTGTAAGGGGAAAAGAATGTCCGTTCTCTACAGAAGCCACTTTTCTTCGTGTCGTGGTGAAAAGATCACTATAGAAATCCAGGGCAACACTCGCGCTGCTGCGTGACGATCGTGCATTCAAAGGGTTTTCTTGAGTACGTTATGGTCAACTTTTGTTCTCGTGCTCGTATACCGTCGTCTGTGACATCAAAATAATTCCCTCTTCTTGATTGATTGATTGATATGTGGGGTTTAATGTCCCGAAGCCACCTATGATTACGAGAGACGCCGTAGTGGAGGGATCCGGAAATTTCGACCACCTGGGGTTCTCTAACGTGCACGCAGATCTGAACACACGGGCATTTTCGCCCCCATAGAAAATGCAAGCCGCCGCAGGCGGGATTCTATCCCGCGACTTGCGGGTCACGAGCCTTAGCCCTCCACGGCGGGCCAATTTTCCTCTTCTGAACACTGGCAACAACGTTGAAGACATGTGACAATCTCAATGAACGCCCGCATTCTCTCACGCGAGAAAGTACTGTCCCGCGAGATATGATAATGATTACAGCGAATTGTACGGCGCCCGAAAGGATCCGTATGTATACTGACTGTCGTTCTGTTTTGTGTTTTTATCTTTGCAGAATTTCATCAGCTTCATTGATAGAGTTGGAGTGTGGGATCAGCTGCTGAAGCCTGTTGAGTACCTTGCCGATCGCTTCCTGAGGTTCGTGGACTACTCGGAGCTGCGATTTTATCAGGTAGGTGTTGTTCGCTTTGATGTTTAGGGCACGCTATATATATATATAGGGCACGCATCTGAGCACTGATGTAGAGAAACTTATAATTTGAATGCCCGGGAGTGTTCATATGACGACGGCCGTCCCAAGTGTCGGCGCCCACTGTCACTGAAGATTGGAGTGGCCGCATATTGTCACGCGTATAAGTTGTCCGCACTGTGACCTCTGCCCGCACTGCCAACAGAGTTCGCCGGGAATTCAACTGGGGCTCGCGCTTCTTAAGGCATTTGAACACGAGCGTTGCGACAAGGACCTGCGCAACCTTGTTCTCGCAGATGCTGTTATGCGGCGCTTCACGGTGGCTAATGCGCAATGTGGACCAGTAATGAGCGGTATGCTCACGTCACCGCTGGCCACAGTGGGCCGCCCAAATGCTGCGGCCGATAGGGGTCACCTTGAAAGCCGGCCGCCGTTTCGAGAGCCAGCGAAGCTTTTTCCCTCTGCGATGCGAACCAAGAGCAATGTGCTTTGAAAAAAAAAAAAAAAGGATGCAGCGAAGTTTCTTCGTCGACTGCAGTCGCATCTGAACTACATATATATATAGTGTGTACACCATGCACTCGTGTGCGCAATACAAACTGTGCCGATCGCTTGTGCCCTCGCGATCTCCGACGACAGCTTAGCTCTGGCCCACTGGGTTGGTCCTATACGCCACCTCCTGTCGCCGATCCCCTACGACAACGTCAGCGCAGCTCTGGCCGACTGGATTATAGCCCTACGTTATCTCCTGTCGCCGACAAGAGCTCTCGCAAGTGGTGCCCGTCCTCGGACTCCTGTGACCGTGTTTCCATCTTTCATATCTCTCATGTCGTCGCTCGCTGTCCTAGCACATCTCTCTATATATATCCTATCCTCCTTCTTTTATATATATCCTATATCCTATCCTCTTAATCCCTCCTCACCCCCATATCCCTTGCGAGCTACTGTTGAGGTGTCGCCCGCTGATGCAGACATTTACGGGCTCACTTTTCTTTTCCCTCTTATAACCGCAATGTGTTTTGACACCAAGCACGACCTTTGTGCTGCTTCGCACCGCGCTGACATTTCTTCGAAACCCACATTAGCACCATGGCTGCAGTTCACTCGTCCTGGTAGACCCGCCTCCTTTCCCATGCTACCCGAATGAACCCTCTTGCCGTGGTTTGTCACAACTCGGCAGCCAGAAGGGCGGCACTTCTCCGTATAGGTATCGCGCATACGCCCCCATTCTCCGTCGTCGTCTTTGCGCCGACGGTATGTTGCTGCGCAACTTCCAGGCTGACGCGCGTGCTGGCATTCATCACAGTTGGCGTGGGTCCGCCTATTCGTAATCACAGCGTGGAGCAAAGAAGGCACGGCATAGTTTTTGTGAAAGTGCCCTTCAGCTCTTGCACACGCGCATGCAGACGTTTAACCTGTCTGCTATTGATAACTGCAGTTGTTGGAAGTTCTCGTGACGTTATACCGTCGTTTTGAGTGAGATCCAACTTCGCTGCTTCACCGTCTCGGAGTCCGTTTTGTCGAGCTCGCAGACGGCCATGGACGACGCAATTTTCCCCGCTTGATTGCATCACGGTTGCCCGCATGGAGCCAGCTGTGGTGTGTACGCCCCCAATGTGGGTACGCATGCGCTGCACACATTTCTTTCCCGCATTTCATCCTGGCTTTTTTCGGGCAGTTTTAGGACTTAGCTAACGGACGCGTGGCTGCCGCAACGGTTGTGATCCGTTCGTTGTCGTGCGTCCTTCGATTGTGGCGGCAACATATATTCCCGGAGTCACCAGTGAGCACTGCACATCGCAGTGCAATTCGCTGCATGTGCACGTCATGTGTTCGTAAATGCGTCGATGCCTTCGAGGAATCTTGTCAATAATGCCTCGCGGATATCGCGTGGTTAACAGCGTCTAGTCGGAATAGTATGTCGCCTCCATTCCGGCCGAGTCCTCACTCTGAGCTCCTGATTAGCGTACTCGAGCGGCTTGTGTACTCGAGGTCTTTCTACAACGTGTCATAATAATATACAGTGTCCAACGAGTTTTTTCAGTACGCCAGTAGCGTTACTGCAAGCTCTGACTGACTTTTTTTCGCACGTGGTTTGTTACCACGTGCGATAACCTTTCAGTCGTGAGTGAGCGTTTCCGGTGTGCATACTTCTTTCTTGGTTCTATACCTCCTTCTTTTTGCCATGTAGGCTGTATTCCTACCTGCAGTTAACGTGTCAAGGGTAGTTGACAGATGCATATGCTGTGAACGGCGCGCTGTGGTCTAGTCAATGTATATTATACTTTACGAACTTGCGCTTATTTCTAGAGCACTCTTTAAATATACCTGAAACGTACAATTTACTTGTAAACAGCCTCAAAGGACATGCATCCGTTAATTTATGGGCAGTGCTTGCAGCTTTTAGGCAACTAAGTTGTACTGTTTTCTATTTATGCCGAAGGCGGACAGTGCTTGCAGCTTTTAAGCAACCAAGTTGTACTGTTTTTTTTTATTTATGCCAAAGGTGGACTAACGCTAAATGATAATAATAATTAACTGACTCTTCTGAGCCGCTCGCCCCGCCGTGGTAGTCTAGCGGCTAATGTACTCGGCTGCTGACGCGCGGGTCGTGGGATCTAATCCCTGCTTCGGCGGCTGCAATTTCTATGGAGGCGGAAACGCTGTAGGCCCGTGTGCTCAGTTTCGGGTGCACGTTAAAGAACCCCAGATGGTCGAAATTTCCGGAGCCCTCCACTACGGCGTCCCTCTTAATCATATGGTGGTTTTGGGACGTTAAACTCCACATATCAGTCAAATCTTCTGAGCCGCTCAGGTGGTGGAACAGGGGGACAAGTGCAAATGGTAGACAGGTCAACGCACCGAAGCACAGAAAATTGTGATGGAATCACGCAGTTATATATCACGCCCAAGGAGGTTTAAAAAAAAATGCTGGAGTGGAAGCTACCGCAATGCTTTGCCAGCAGTAGTGAAGCCAGCTTTTTCCCTCCAAAGATCTCATAAACAAGCTATATTGTGGTGGTGTCCACTTAGACATCAAGGGGCTTGCATTTGTTAGTATAAAGGCTACGTTAATTATAAATTAAAAAATAGTTGTTCTTGAAGAAATAATCCGCAGAGACTAGTATCGGTGACTTAATCTCCAAAAAAATTTGCCTTGACCTCCAGGCTTTTTAAAGAAAACTAGAAACACAAGGACGCACTTTGAGCACTATCTGACCCGAAAAGGTTGCCACGTGTAAATCGTTAAGCGTGCGAGGAAAACGACCTTTCTGAATCGCCGAACGCCAACAGCTCATGCCTCTAGTAAGATGGCTGCCGTAGCCGCCATCTTACGGTTGGCACGGCTTCTCTCGTGGGCAGGAATTTCCATTCCAGCATTTTTTTTTCTTTGAACCTTCTTGATCACGCCTTGCCGAGTTGTCTTGATCTAAGAAGCGCTGGCACGATGCAAACGGAAAGTTGAAGCGTTAGGCCCGCGCGCCCGTCGCGGCGAACAAACTTTTCCCATAAGCACTTGCGCGCCCATTGGCGGCGCTAGTGTGCTTGAAAAAGGTCTATTGGGCTGGTTAACTGAGGAACCTCCGTTTCGTAGAGCTGCGCGCCCATCATGCGGGTGCAAACGTGAGAGAGAGAGAGAGAGAGAGAGAGAGAGAGATTAGTTCAGGAATGCTGCTCTGAAATGGCCTATATATGTCAAAAACGGAACAAATATTTGTTACCAGGATGCCGCCTGGTAGTATAGGGCGAAGCGTCATAAAAAAAAAGAACGAAAAAATAACGTCATGACAGCATTCCAGAACACATACAATGAAAGGTGTTAACACGTATACATGCTAAAGTGTCCGACACTCTCCTCATGGGGATCACGGCATGGTGGTTAGCACTACCGCCGTAATTAGATGCGCACAAAACGAGACAGCATAGTAACTAAAAAAAGAAGTTCGTGGTTTTGACAGTGAAAGTGAGACAGGTTGTTAAAAATCTCAGAAAAGACTGAACTCCGGGGCCGGATAACCTGAAAACTAATCTCGTATACAATTGATGTACGAAAGGCATAAAAAGTGTTTTATCGATCTTTTAAAAGCATGCCCACAACACGGATATTTTACCCACAAATATGAAAAGAATAAAATTTAATGTTGATGCCAAAAGGGAAAGCAGATGAACATAAAGAAAACAAATATCGCCCCATAACTATAAATTCGATTTTGGGAAATTTTAGAAAAACTCCTAAAAGACAAAATTTACCACTTCTTTAAAAACGATTATTTTTAATTTGAAAAAAAAAACAATTAGGCTTCACCCACAGCTCGTCAACAACCATGGCACTGGAAGAAATCGTCAAACGGTTAAACCAAGTGAGATTGCATAAATTAAATGGCACGCTAATAGCATTAGATAATAAAACGCATTAAATATGTAAAATCAAAATAACCGTTCAGAAATTGGAAGAATATAAGTGTCCCAATAATCTAGTAAAATCAGCGGACAACATTTTACGATAAAGCAAAATAATTTATGAAAAAAATGAAGTAAAGATCAACGAAACACTATCATCAGGTTTTCCCCAGGGGTGCACCTCTCAGGTCGATCTACTAGAATATAACAACAGGAGATTTATTAGAAAAACAATTTCCAGATGGAGCACATATCCAAGCTTTTGCGGATGATGTGGTCTTAAACATAAAATTCCGCTCAAGGATTGAGGTAGAGGATAAGGCGGCGCAGACGTTAACATTAACAAGTCAGTGGGCACTCCTAAAAGAAATTAAATTGAATAAAGAAAAAAATCGGAATATATGATAATTGGGAAGCAGTACATTAGCCATCAACCTCAATTAAGAATAGAACATGACAAAATCAGAACGTTATAAGTGAATTTGATATCCTAGGGGTTGTCTTCGACACAAGACTTACTTTCTTGCCACATCCTAAGTGCTTAAAAGGAAAAGTAGACGAGGTCACTTATAACCACAAAA